TTTTAAGTCCATTTGATATATGGTATTGTTTAATTCAGATGTCTCTCTGTTAACTCTGTGCCCTGTTGACCTATCTAATGGAGAAAGTGGGGGCATTGAAGTCACCTATTATTAATGAGTTGGGGTTAATCTGGGTCTTAAAGTTCTGTAGTATTGTTTTGATGAAGTTAGGTGCACCAGAGTTTGGTGAATATATGTTCATAGTTGTAATATCTTCTTGATTCATTGTTCCTTTGATCAAAATGAAGTGGCCCTCTTTGTCTCGTCTGATTAGTTTTAGTTTAAATTCTATTTTGTCAGATATTAGTATTGCTTTGCCTGCTTTTTTCTTAGTGCCATTTGCTTGGTATATTTTTTCCATCCTTTCACTTTGATATAGTGTCTGTCCTTGAAGTGAGATAAGTTTCTTACAAACAACAAAAAAATGGATTTTGCTTCTTAATCCATTTACATAGTCTGTATCTTTTGACTGGGGAGTTCAGTCCATTAATATTTAAAGTTATTAATGAAAGATGGGTATTGAATCCTGTCATTTTTATTTCTGTTTACATTCTTGATATAGCTATATTTTTCCACAGTTATATCTTTATTGGATTTCTTTCCACAACCCCTTGGGTATAGTCATTCCTTTCTTCATATCTTTGTATTGCTTCCAGAACTCTCTCAAGGATTGGTTTTGTGGACATGAATTGCTTCAGCCTATTTATGTCATGGAAGATTTTTCTTTCCCCTTCGACTATAATAGACATTTTGGCTGGGTATAGAAGAAAAAAAAATTTAAAACTGAGAATACTTTGGTCCAGGCTCTTCTGGCTTTCATAGTTTGTACTGAAAAGTCAGCTGTAATCGTAATGGGTTTTCCTTTATATGTGACTTGTTTCTCTTTTGCAGCTTTCAGAATTGTCTCCTTTTTTTTGTACATGTAGTGTTTTTACTATGATGTGCTGTGGATAGTTTTTTTTTTCTGGTCCTGTCTGTTTGGTGTTCTATACGCTTCTTGTATTTGTATGGGCATATCTTTCTTTAATTTTGGGAAATTTTCTTCCATGACTCTGTTGAAGATCTGGTCCATGCCATTTTCTTGGGATTCTTCTCCTTCCTGTATGCCTTTGCCTTTGATTCTTAAGTTTGGTCTCTTTATGGTGTCACACAATTCCTGCATATTCTATTCTTGTGATTTCTTAAAATTTTCATAATCTTTGCTTGTGTGTTCTAGTTCGTCCACTTTATCTTCCAGTCTTGATAGTCTGTTTTCCATTTTGTTCATCCTATTGGTGAGGCTTTCTCCTGTCAGTTCTAATTGTCTTACTCAGTGTTTCATTTCCTTCTTCATTTCAGCCTGAGTATTCTTCAATATTTCTAACTCTTTTCTGATATGATATTTTGGTTTTTCATGTTATCATTTTTTCTCTGTGATTGTGACATGTGAATTTCTTTTGTAGCTTCTGATTCTTGTGTCTTCTTCTTCTTGTCTGCTTCTTTTTGTGAACTTTATGTGTCTTTGTGGTTTACTTTTTGGGCATGAAAACCTGGTTCCTCTAAGCTTCTGGTTCTCTCTTTTGATTTTATATTGGAGTGGCTGGAATGATTTTGTCTTCAGGAATCCCCACAGAGGCCCAATTCAGATGAGGGTCAGATGATTCCAGGCTTTCTCCTAAGGTCTGTATCCCTCCAGGAACAATTTTGGCTTCAGGAATTTGGGGGTTGGACTGGCCTGGAAGCCTGGCCCAGAAAAGATGCTGGTCTACGGCAGCTGGTGGCCGTGCCACCCACAGATACAAAGGCAGATAGGATGGGAAGAGGCCCCAAGGACTCCTGGGGACTGCACTGAGGAGCTGGGTTGGTCCCAGAGAGAGGCCTGCAGGTAGGAGAGAGCTGCTGTCCTCTTTCTATCCCACTGTGATGCTTCCTGGTAGGCTCTCGTGCACCTCTATGCAATCGTGTTCAGCCGGATATGCAGTAGAGGGGCAATTGAGAAAAAGAGTTTCAACCATTGACCCCTCCATAATGCTTATTAGATGACAGATACTTTTCTAAATATGTGTGTATTGATTTATTTAATCTTCAAAACAATTAATTGAGAAAGGCACCATTACTATCTCTTTTATAAATGATATACCTATAGTCTCTCACTGATGACTAGAAAAGGCCAGTTACTAAAGGCCAGTTACTAAAGGAAGCAAGAAGTAAACTTGGGCTGCCTAGTTTCAGCTGCACACGGTGCTGCTCCTCATGTGTGCAGTACTGTCTCACTCTGAGGCCTTGTACATGCTCCTGTGCTTGAGATAGCCTTGCGCCCTTCCCTCTGACTGCTTGTCTCCACTCACCTTTCATGGATCCTGGCTGTCCACTGAGGTTCAGAGATCCTTCTGTCTCCATCTCCTCCAGTGCTGGGGTTACCAAGACTTGCCACCACATCTAGCTTTTATGTGACTTCTGGGGATCTGAATTAGCTTCCCAGTAGTGCTGCAAGCATTTTACCCACCAAGTCATCTCCCCAGCCCCCGTTCTTTTATTTCTAGGAACCATGTCATATACTTATAGGCTTCCCCAGCCCAGTTCTCTATAGTTCATAGTCTTCATATTCTCATTTATCAGTGTGCCTCCCTGTGTTATCAGAAATCACCAAAGCATCTGTTTAAACAGGCTACAAGAAAGACATGAAGCTCTTATTCCTGTTTCTCATTTCTACTTGTTTTTAGGTAATACACATGGAAATACAAATAGGAGTGTTTGTGTTTTTCTGGTCAGCATTTTTAATAATTAAATTTACATCTGACAAATATGGTAACTTGATATATTTTCATCTGATATTGGACTTTTTCCAATTGCTTGAAAGTTTCGCTTTGCCTCATCACGTGGGCATGCAGCAGGTTGTGTATCCTCCTTTTCAGGGCTGTCATCAGCGACCCAGAGCAGAGTGTACTCACTGCCGAGAACCGAGAAAGGGCTCAGGTCCCTCCAGGCTCAGAGAGGGCGCTGCTTCGATTCAGGAAAAGAACGCTGCATGAAACGAAGTAAGAAAAATTTGGTTATATATAATAAAGGGATCCGCTGGGTCAAAAAGTTACTGTTAAAATGTATTTCTGTAGCTAATTGAAAGGTTTTTCGGGTTAAAAAAAAAAATCTATATAAAGAGAAGCCGAAGTTGTGGGAATTTAGATCCCAGTTCTGGAGTCACTTTCTTATTCTACTGTTTGCCTTGCAGTTTTTTTTTTTTTTTTTTTTTTTCGTTTTTTTGAGACAGGGTCTTCCTGTAGCCCTAGGTGTCCTAGAACTCACTATGTAGACCAGGCTGGCCTTGAACTCACAGAGATCCGCCAGCTTCTGCCTCCCGAGTGCTGGGAGTGTGGGTGGCATGCGCCACCAAGGCGGGGCAAGTTTTTAAATTTCACAATCTTTAAGAATGACCTATGTGAAAATGAGTAATATAGTAATTTAAACATCTGTATGTATGGATTACACACGGACTAAATCTCATTTGTGTACTATGTAGAGAATTAATTTTGTAGAGGAAGGGAACAATAGTCCTAATGCCCTGACTTACTTCAGGTAGCCCCGTCTCTTAACTATGCCTCCACTTCCTAGAGCACCATGAGAGGAGACCCGGACCTTTGACAACAGTTTCCCAAACTGGTTCCTGCAGTATATCCCAGTAGCAGGTTGAGTGTTATAATAGCACCTCATTTTTTTTGCCATTGCTCATTATTATCTTTTGCATTTTTGTTTCTCCCTATGGATGCGTATTGGTGGTTTTAGTTTGCATTTCACTGGAGAATAATAATGCTGATCAATTTCCATTTGTGTACTGGTCATTCAGATATTCAATTTGCCATTTTATTATGTTGTCTTGAGTTCTTTATATTTTCTTTTAAGAAATCTGTGCCTACCACAAAGTAGCTTTACTTTGACTCTTAAGTCTACTGTTATAGGTTAATTTGTCATGAGTGCACAGTTGGTTTGTAGCCTATTTTTGAGTCTCATCTCTCTGCTTTACATTACTTTATATTAAATGTTTACGGCTTGTTTAAAGCTAATCATATTCCAAAAACTCTCGTGATAGTTATTGATTAGAATTATTGAATCCATAGATTTTTACTC